TAATAATAATAATAATAATAATAATAAAAATAATAATAATAAGCTTACATCCTGCGACGATACCTTTAACATCCTCAAACAACAACATCTGCCTATCCCAGGTCCTTGGGAAGGAACCAATAGGTGGATAAAAACACCAAATCCAGTCTAAACATCTGGCTGACTGGGCGACCAACCATAATTTACTTTCTTACGTCTTTTCTGCACTGTCCATGATGTTGCGTCCCCTTACAAAGCAAACAGTGCCATATCTATGGATAGATGGTTGGATTTATGGTAAACTATGATTTGGATTCCATTTTTCTTCTTCTTTCTTTCAATCTTAGTTTTTGTTAGTATTTACTGTTCCTTTTTTTAAAAAGTTAATAAAGTTATAAATTCTTTCTTTCTTCTTTCAGTATCAGTTTTTGTTAGTTTTTATTGTTCCTTTTTAAAAAAATGAATAAAGTTATAAATTCTTTCTTTCTTTCTTTTTTCTTTCTTTTTTCCTTTCTTTCTTTCTTCTTTCAATCTTAGTTTTTGTTAGTTTTTATTGTTCCTTTTTAAAAAAATGAATAAAGTTATAAATTCTTTCTTTCTTTCTTTCTTTTTTCTTTCTTTTTTCCTTTCTTTCTTTCTTTCTTCTTTCAATCTTAGTTTTTGTTAGTTTTTATTGTTCCTTTTTAAAAAAATTAATAAAGTTATAAATTCTTCTTTCTTTCTTTCTTCTTTCAATATCAGTTTTTGTTAGTTTTTATTGTTCCTTTTTAAAAAAATGAATAAAGTTATAAATTCTTTCTTTCTTTCTTTTTTCTTTCTTTTTTCCTTTCTTTCTTTCTTCTTTCAATCTTAGTTTTTGTTAGTTTTTATTGTTCCTTTTTAAAAAAATTAATAAAGTTATAAATTCTTCTTTCTTTCTTTCTTCTTTCTTCTTTCTTTCTTCTTTCAATATCAGTTTTTGTTAGTTTTTATTGTTCCTTTTAAAAAAATTAATAAAGTTATAAATTCTTTCTTTCTTTCTTTCTTTCTTTCTTTCTTTCTTTCTTTCTTTCTTTCTTCTTTCAATATCAGTTTTTGTTAGTTTTTATTGTTCCTTTTAAAA